TTAAAAAATTTAAATATTAAAAAAATTAGTAAAAATCTTCGCAGACAAATTTGCCTGCATTACAATTTAAGGGATAATAATTATTAGAAGTATCTGTATCTTGAGTATATGTAGATCTATAAATTATCATAGCTCTGTATAAAACAAATAGTTATTAAATTATAATAAAATTTATATCTAAAAATATTATACTAAGTTAGCTACCTTCTTTTAATAAAATCAAGCTTATCCTCGGCCTCAGTAGATGACAAGTGCATTTTATACTTAAAAATATGACCTAGTAATAACATTTTATAATGAGGATCCATTATTGATGCAATACAGTGTACTTCCCCAGTTTCTGCCCAGTATTTTTCAAACTTGGATTCCATTGGTACGATTATTTGACAAATAAAGAGATCTATATTATTAGTATTTTGCTCAAGATGTAACTTAATTCTTATAAGATGAGGAAGAAAAATATTTGCCATCGAATATGTGCTGCCTGATATGATATTTGTAACTGTATTTAGATAACTTGTTAGTATGTGTTTTTAGTAAAATTTATTATAACATTTGTGCACAAATACGATGATAAATTTACTATTATCTTCATAAAATGGTCTTAAGAAATTAGAAATACTTCTAGCTCTTTCCCAGTCTTCTTCAGAAGGCATGATTTGCTCAAAGTTAATATCCCGCAATGCAAGACATTCGAATACTCTTTTATATGGAATAGTAGATATTAAAATGAGTAGGCACATCAAGAGCTGGTCTTTGACTTGTTACAAGCTCAGGGCAGCACCCAACGATTGCATCTTCAAAGTTTTATAACCAGGACTGTGAACTGTGGATCCATTTTGCACATTCCCTAACTTTGCTAACAATTTTTTTAACTATTTTGAGACCATCATTAACAATGAGATTTAATATGTGGGCACAGCATCATTGGTGCAATAAACTTCCTTCAGCAACAAGCATATTTTGCTCATCAAGCTTAAGTTTCAAATCAGTAATCGCGGCATCATTACTTGTTGCATTGTCCATAGTAATTGCTAGAATTCTTGACATAACACTCCAATCATTAAACCATTTTAAAAGAGTTTCACTAATGTTAACTCCTGTGTGTGGTGTGGGAACTAATTTAAATGATATAACTAAATTTTGAAGCTTTCAATTTTTATCTATAAAATGACAGGTAACAACCATGTACTCCAGAGTTTGGTTCGATGTCCATAAGTCAGTTGTATAACTTAAACGTCCGGGTGTCTCTTCTATCATTGTACGAGCCTTTGCTTTAAGTTTTTCAACAACATTTACACAATCATCATGCACTGTTTTTACTAGTGGTTGTTTCAGTATTTTCATTAACAGTAGATATTTCAGGGCTTTCAGTAATAGTGGTTATTTCAGTACTTTCACCGGCAGTAGTTATTTCAGAATTCCTGTTATTTCAGGGTCTTCACTTTCACTAATGGTAGAATAAATACTTCGGGTTTCTGATCAATAAATAATAATGTATTATTAACCAATTCAAAATATACAAAATGCAACTTTTTAGTATATTAATTTTTTACACACCATAATCCATTTTTATATTATACTTAAACAAGCTATTCTTCAGTATTTTCAAACGACGTAACCTAAGAAAAGAGCCTATTGTTAAGTCTTAATTCTTGATCTATACTTTTAAAATATAGAAAGTCTTTTACAAAAAACTCTTTTGAGTCATATAAATCACCTTAAGTGTATCTTTCTAATATGCTTTTATATATCTGATCCAAAAAGGTATATTTTCTTTCTATTTAACTTGCCTAATTTTTTACGTTCGTACGTGTGTACATACATATGGTATGCTTTGTTTTATTCGCGCACACCAAAATCACTAACTTGGCTGTTTTAACAGTGCACTGCAAAGACTTGAAATAAGTATTAACTCTCCTTATCGCTATACATTATCTTACATGGTCTTTATACATAAATTGACCAATCAAAAAAAAGGTACTGTAATACCGTACAGCATGGACTAAAAGACCCTTTTAAAATACCCCTCACTATTTTCGGAGGCTAGAATGTAAAGTACCCAGTACTAAGGACAGATTAATGAATATAAAATACCCGGGTACTAATATGTAAAATATTACTGAGGCGCTCATATAGTACAACTTATTCCCCCTATGCTGATTATAGTATTTCTTCGAATATAATATCCGTAAAGTACTTTGGGTATTTTAGTCCACGCTATGCGATAATTAATCAATTCAAAAAATTGAACACTAGTCTTCGCTAATAAATTACTATTTTGCCAATCTATGTATAAAATCTGTATATTAGTTTTTATTACAATACATAGATTTGATTAATTAATACTATATATCAGAAGCCCGGGGTAGTAAAAATGCCAAGAATTGCAATTTTATTTATAATGCCTTTTCAATTTATATATGTATATGTTAAATAAGATATAAAGCCCACAATTTATATAGCACTCATATTATTCACTTAAAGTTTTATTAGGCCCATTGGGCCCAACCGGGTATGAATATAAAGCCCAAACCCGGCCCAGTACTTAGTGGACCTGATCCATACCCGGCCTACAAAATTATGGGTTTAAAAATTTGAGCCCGATTTAGGCCCAAGCCCGGCCCGGCCCATGAATTTTCGGGTTTGGCCCGGCCCATTTTGTACCCTACTCCCTCTTTCAAATGAGTGGGGGTTACGTTTTCTCTGCAGCATTAAAATCAAATGGTAAATTGGATTCTTCCACGCTATCTAATGAGTCTCCAATTACTACTAATAAGCCTTCAGTTACAGCATCAGAAAACAATGTACCTATAACTCAAGAATAATGGAATAGCCGACCCTGTTAACTTTTTCGTTAGATTGTACCAGATGTGAAAAAACAATTGCTGGTAAGGTATTAACAGCGATGGGAAAGAAGTGGCACCCGGAACATTTCAGTTGTAAGCACTGTGAGATTACTTTAGATAGTGTTGTTAGCCGACCAAATTATTGACTGATCATCGGCTAATATCACACTTTATAACAATAAAATATGCAAAAATATGCAGCATACTTCTACATATTTCATTGTTCAAAAGTGTGATATTAGTCGACGACTAAGCCGGCTAACAACACTAACTTTAGAATATGTTGCATTCTTTGAATAGTATGGTTACCCTTATTGTTATTTGGATTATCACGAGTTGTTTAGTCCAAAATGTAGACATTGTGGTAATACTATCGAAGGAGTAAGTGATTATTTATTATTTTAACAAAATTTTTACTATTATTGACTTTTTATTTTCAAAAAAAAAAAGTTTTTCATCACGGCACTTGGAAAATCCTGGCATCAAGAACACTTCTTTTGCCATGAGTGTGGTAATCCATTCGAATCTGGTGGGTTTATGGTTAATGATGGATTTCCTTATTGTGAAAAAGATTGAATTAAAAGTTTGGTAATTATAACTATTTTACTGATAACATTATAAATCATCGATTCTAAAAATCTTTTTAAGTTTCTTATATATATATATATTTGGTTTGTTTAATCGTAAATTTAACAAAACTTAGCACCGAAATACAAAGGATGTCAAGAACCTATCAGAGGTGAATTTATGAGTGCTCTGGATGAAATGTGGCATCGTGAATGTAGAAAATAATTGGCATCAGCAAATTATATATCTGAAATAACACCCATACACGCCTCAAAATACCGTGCAGCCTTCAAACATCTGAACTCTTATTTTTCCTTTGCAGTACTCAAATGATACTATATTTTTGAGTTCATGTCAGGTTCACATGTTATCATTTACCTAAACTCAATGGTTGATTATAAAGGTGATTTTTACAACCACTTATTTACTACTAACTAATATCTTTCAGATACTATTCTATTCAATAATATCTACTAGAGCTTCGATCTTAATTTTTCAGGACTATCCGGATTGAATTCGGATTCTCTTTCATAAATCTGGTTATAATTCGAATTTGATTCAAATTCAATTCGGAAAAATCATTGATCGACCAATTAGAATTGCGAATAATTAGTATTTCTAAAACTTCTCTAAATAATACATGATATGTAAAAAGAAGATAGCAGTCATGTGAGTTTTAGTCAAATCATCAGTGTAATATAAGAACAATAATTACAGTAATTTTAACAACTCTTTATGGTTAGTAGAGTTCCAATCCAAATAATTGAATTATCCAGATATCAATAGTAGACAAATATCCGGATAAATTCAGATCCGGATAAATGCTCAACAGATTGGAACTCTAATGGTTAGTATTAGGATGAGAAAGTTCGTATTGCCAGCTGAAAATCAGCGAGTCGGTCGCTAATCGATTCAGAGCGTCATGTAATCTACGATCAGCTTAGTCGAATTAGAGGCATTTAAATTTGGTGAGTGGGTATTTGGGTCATAGGTATAATTTCTTTGGCTTGAATTGGAGACCAGATAACATACAGTAACGATTTTTCTTCTTAACAACTATCGATGCACAAAACCACGGCTTGGTTCTTCCTCTTGAACTTCAAACCGGAACACAACTTTCCACGGTACATTGGGAGAGTTGGACAACAATAACCACGGAACGTCGAAGATCTTTCACTATGCCACTTAGTGATCGATCTGGGTAAGAAGTATTTAGTTAGAGTGTATTTATTTAGATGCTTAAGGGTTGTAATGGTCAATTGGAAAATTTTATTTAGGGTTGATTATTGTAAGCAGAACAAAACTTATTTTTCTTAGGGCCTTCGCAGCCTTTATTTATAATAAAAGATTCAGAATTACAGTAAATGGCATAAATGCCATAAATCTAATTTATGCAACAAATTCTTGCAATAAATGCAACAAAATTGCACTTAACCCTGTGATCTTAGATCATGCTTGGGCTGTAGCAGTTAGGTTGGTTTTCCAGAGCTCACAGTATTATAAAATCATTCTAACAGCTCTTCATGGTTAGTGTTAGAATAAGAAAAGTCATATTATAAAAACATTCTAACAGCTCTTTAAAGTTAGAATTTAGTATTTTGATTATGAATGTTTGTACTATATATTAAAATTTCATAAAGAATCTTTTTTTTTTTGCTGATGTGCCCATCATATTAGTTTTTTAATATATCTAATTCACATACAGTCAACTCTCCCTAAATGCACCCCCTTGGGATCATAGGTAAAATTTTCAAAAATATGCATTTAGAGAGGTGTGCATTTACAGAAAGCATTTTATTAAGAGTTCTATATGCTTGGGAATAAGTATTAGCGTGCATTTAGAGAGGTGTGCATTTACAAAAAGCATTTTATTAAGAGTTCTATATGCTTGGGAATAAGTATTAGCATGTATTTAGAGAGTGCATACATAGTCCGTGTATTTATAGGAGTGCACTTAGGGAGAGTTGACTGTAACCCACATGTGCAATATTAATTATTTAATATAGCACTTAAAATAATTCTTATATTATTCTTTAACTCAACAATAAAAATAGAAACATGCACTAATGCAGTATAATTCAATATTTACTAATTAAAAAACTTTTTGCTGTTTTACTGGTTTTTTTCTTTTGGTGATAGACTTTCGATGTTAGAACTAAACAAATCTTTATAATTGTTAAATTGAAAAGAATGCAAACAGTATAATGTTTTATTAATAATATTTTGTCTGTTTTGTCTTCATTATTATATTCATGATATATATTTTTATCTGAGACTTCTAGAATATGATATAGAACAAATACTGTATAAAAGAACTGCACCACAGACAAACATATATATAGTAAAAAAAAAAAACTTTTTAAAAAAATAAAAAAACTTTTAAATTACTGGTAGATAGCCATATCACAAAAAGTGGTCTATGGTGATGTGTAATATGATCATTTATATTAAATCCTATTTTTTGTTATCAGTGTTCAAATAATCCTCATTCTCAATTTGAAATATATTATGGATCTATCTGTTTAAAATTAATAAATAAGAATATCCAAATTAAGGTTAAGGTCTTATAGCCTAGTGGTCTAGGCGTCTAACCCTTCACAGACAAGGTCAACAGCTCAATTATAGCTAGTGGTAATTAATTTAATTAATTATCTCTATAATCTACAGGAGCTTTTGAATGCGAAACCCTGTGATGATAAGACCATGTGAAGTATATATTTGGCCTATAAAGAATTCTTGGAAGGAGTTCTGAGCTGTAGAAAAGACTGGGCACTACGTGTGACATGGTGTCACAGAAAGTAATACTGTATAAGGCTGTGCATGTAAATCCTCAATTGGCTAGATAGTACCAACAACCCTAAGGTGGTCTTGGGGATTTTGATTGGGAGAACAGCTAAATGCAGCATATCTGGAAGTGGTGAGAGAAGCGGCGAATACAGTAAGGGGCTGTGGTAAGAGAATAGCTTTACCAAATAAAGGAACACCTCTTGCATACAAGATTGGAAAATTGGAAAACTAATAAGAAAACACTGCATATCACAATGTTGATGATAGGTGCCATACTGATGCGCTATAAGTCAAGGTTCCAGGCCTCCTTGCATTACCAAGCTAGAAGTAAAACGATAGTCAGTAGTACACCCATATAACATAGTTATATTGGGAAGCTTCGGTGCTCATGCTATAGTCAATTA